CTTAAGTCTAGAGGAGCTGCACGGATCCACTGCTCAGGTGGAAGAATCTGTCAACAGGACAGCTATCAGTTGCACAGTCCACAAACTGGCATGCATGTCAAGAAGAAACCCATTGTTGAAAGACAAAAAAGTCAAATTTGCAGTTTGCCACAAGCTAAGTGGGAGTCAAAGCAAACGGGTGAAATAAGGAGTCCAACTCAGATTAGACTTTTTGCACTAATGGGGGGAGCTTTTCTTCAGACGGGATAGGGAGGCTAGTCAGAGTTGATGGGAACATTTTTGGAGCCAAATACAGGAAGAAAACCTTCCAGACACTCCAAGAACTTTAGACGGGGATAAAATTTCGCCTTCCAGCAGGACAACAGCCCCAAAAATTTGGCCAAAGCTGTAGTGGAATGGGTCAAATTTTATTCAGAAGTTAGAATGCCCGATCTAAAAGCCAGGCCTAAGGATTGGTGACAATACTTGCAAATTGATATTCAAAGAATAACTGACACTACTCTATTTAGTTAATTTAAACTTTATCTCATTAAAATTTATAATTGTGCCAAAACTTTTACACAAAGGGAAAAAAATCATACATATTTTTATTGTCGCTTCTTTTTGTCGCTTTAATATGCGAGTGATGCATATGCAACCCACAAAATCAAAGTTAAAGTAAAAGTGAAAGAGAAAAGTGGAGGCCCAAACCAAAAATGCACCAGGTTTAACTGTTGAAAAAAGGTAATGCAGCTCTCTCCAACAGAAAACCAACCTGACAGGAAGTCTAGCTGTGGTTAACATGGTAAACACATTTGTGTTAGTTTCCTGAAATTGTTTTGCTGTTTCCAGGAAACAACGTGCTGGTTGTTCTGTGAAACTTAAAAGCAGAAATGTGGTAAAAACCTGTATGTGAACACATTCAGGAGGCCTCTTACCTTGACCCCTTCAGCTTGAGCATGCAGCCCTGGAGCGTTGAGGCCATGAGTGTTGAGTCCTGGCGTAGGGGCCGGCTGAGGACTGGGGGCCGGCGTTGTCAGGACATGGGTGTTTCCAGATCCTTGCAGGCTGCTGGAGGAGCGAACGCTGCCCAAGCTGCACACACTGCCACTGCGCTCTCCTCCTTCAATAAGAAACTTCATATCTTTCAGCAAGCCAAATTTCATTGCAATCTTTTGAAAGTGGTCTTGATTAACTGCATGTCTTTTAAGATTTCCTTTGGACTTTAGCTGATTTTTTGCTAATTTCCAGTCAATTATCTGGAGCTACAGTAGAAAGTCCAGATCCAACTGCCTGACCATCTTAGGCTGAAAGTTTAATGCACTATAATTGTCTGAGAGCCTCTTAGTGGTAAAATTACTGTTAGCTGTATCAGTCAGGTAGTTTACTCAAAGGGCCCTCCTCAAAGAGCCACACCAAGCATCCGTCATAATGAGGTGAGTTAATCTTCAACAGTACAGACAGAAGTTTTGGATAGCACACCTTGAGAATAGATGATATTAATCTGTAGTCATTGCTGAGACATTTGAGGAGTGGGTGTGTATATTATGTGAACATGCAGCTGAAATCAAAAGTTTACATACAACAAATAGACACACATTTTTTTCTCACTATCTTAAGTTAAATCAGACCAAACGTAAGTCACTTAGAATTATGAAAATTATTTCGAATTATTCTTCATGCCTTCATGTATTGCTTTATGTCACAAAGGCGGTATGAAGCAATAGAATAGTAAAGTTCAAAATCAGAAATTTACATACATTGTCTCAGTAACTGGTAGCATTCCCTTTAAACTGCATGTTGAGGGTCAAACATTTGGGTATGGCCACACCAGAGGTCGCGCTAGACTTTTTTGTTCTCCGTCATCTTGACCGACAACATTTTAAAAAATTGGTCATGTACTTTTTTTACCCGTCAAATTATAATCATATTAACATCGGCTATTTAGCATTTTTATGCTGTTTGGTTAATCTTCACTTAGTAGAACCGTGAATCCAGATCCATCACACATAAAGCAGATAAATGCATCTAACTTTTTCTCCGTAGTGACAAAAATCACTGACTGTGGCTCTTATAATAAATGAAATTAAAGATTCCACTTAAATTACCAGCATTTCACCTGCTGTGGTCTGAACACACAGCCTCACAAATTCCTCCTGGTCACATCTGCAGAGAAATCTCGCTGAGTTCAATTGATCGGTTTGGATCAATTGAACTCCTTTCTTTTTTAATGAATGTCTGTTGGGAACAGATTTGTTGAAGAAGAGGTAAAACTGGTGGGTGCTGGTTTACTGTAAGTCTGTCTTTAGCTGTTCTGATGTTACAGAGTCCAGAGGTAAGGGTTAGGGTTGACCGATGAACTAGCGCAGTTTTACCCTATGCGTGGTCTGGATGTGCGCCTTTACGATGATCTTTTTGCGTGGTTTCGCTTCTCTGAAACGGAAAGATGTTACGTTTGCCGTGCTCCTCCAGAACGCCGCTCTCCTTCTGGGCGAGGGAGGGTAACGAAAACAAAGAAGGCTTGTTTTATTGAATGAGTTAAGTTTAATTCTTTGCAGCGGCAGAACCCGCATTGGTTGTGCAGCGTACTGCGCATGTTACGGTCTGATTAACTTCTGCACTGTCATTTATTTCCGACAAAACTGCCGGCTCTTCTGTTTAGACTATAAATGGACTAACAACATTGAAAACTGTCTAGTTTTCTCTGGTCTGTAATGGAGACTTGAATTCAAGGCGCCATTTCAACCAAAGACTTGTAATGCGCTTCCTAACCAGACTCTCCAAAGTGTCCGGTCCATAACTCTTCAACACGCTGTCAGCTCCGGTCAGAAAGACGCATTTAGTTCAGAGACCATGAGATGATATTCAGAAAGGATTATTTTATCGATTGATTTTAGTTGCCTCTAGGATTAACTTGTTGCATAAAGTCTATAATGTCTGCTCGTGTGCATCAGTCAGTCAGGGGTGTTAATTATAACCTGTCAAAATAACCGACCGACGGGCTTTAAATTTTCCCGCCGTTTAAAAAAAACAACTGGTAAATTACAGAAAATACTCTGTTAACGCGACCTTTGCGTCACACAGCCTTTTCGTGATAGCATGCTGGAATTTGAACCCACTCTGTCTGAGAGAACTGTTGACAGAGAGTCAGGTGTTCTAGGTGTGGCCTTACAATAAGGCCTGGTCAAGTTTCCTAATTTCTAAGCAAAAACTCGACTAATCTAGTCAGGTAAAGCAGCTAAAGAGAGAAAACACAAAAAGAAAATGCAACTGAAGTGCAAAAAACAGCTTGAGTAAGACTGGGGAACTGATGAACAATATAATTTTAAAAGATTGCAAAAAACCCAGCTCTTTAGCAAGCAAACTATATAGACTTTTGAGCTTTTATATGGTGTTATAGGTTATATAGAACAAAACTGAAGAAATTTTCATTTTTCCCTACAGGCAGATTTTGGGGTTTACCTGCCACTGGTTTGCGTAACACCCAGATGTCCTCACTGGTGCTGCTCTGATGTCCTAAAGTGGGAGAGCCCAGAGGACTCAGCTCTGCCGTCCGGGAACCTGTCACATACACACATATACACACAATTTTTATTGTCACTGAAGAAGAAAGGTCAACTTCTAATCATTTGTAAGACAAAAGGATTCTCCAAGACAGTGAGTGCAATGCATATCTGTATACAAATCTGCTCACCTATAAATCATTATTACTCATTGGAAGCTAAAGATTTTAGAAAAGCTTTAGGGGTTTGAAATAACTTGTTTTGGTTCAATAATTTATCATTTTGACTAAAAAGTATTATTTTTATAAAAAATACTGCTTGAGTGGTGATACAATTTCCAATAATCTGACAGTGAAATTAATTTATACTTATACTGCATAATAACACACTTCATAAATGTGAACAGTGCAAGTCAAATGTTTTAAATTAAATAATTTGCTTTGTCCAACCATGACTAGTACTTTTAAGAACCTAGAACAGCCTCATAATGTATTGTATTATACATAGTACTGTGCAAAAGTTTTAAGCTGGACCTAATTTATTCCTGTTTCAGAGATTCTTCCATTGTGCTTAAGTAGTTTTGAGAAACAAATCTGTTTCTGGAGGTCTTTAAAAGTTTGTCTTCAAACTTTGGCTGCTTTTCACTAATTTATAAATCCTCCCTTTTGCACCTGACCATGATAGTATATTTCAGTCTGTTAGCATACAAATAATATTGACAAGTGAAGGACCAGATAACCAATGTCTGACCTAAAAATAAAGCCTACACTCAAAAAATACATGATAACTGAAAGCCATGTTTGACAGAACAAAAATCCAGCAAAGAGGAGACACATGACCTGAGAGATGCATCATCTTTCAGTTGGTCATCATCTGATCAATTTATCAGCTAAAAGTTTATTGGAATTGCTTTGAAATCCTGTTTTCATTCTGCCAGAGTGTTTCTTTTTGGATGTTTTTGAGAACTGGATTCGTCCGGAGTTTCTTAAAGCTTAATGTGTTGTAGGGTTGGGTAGGTTGATGTGACTCTGCAATATTGCATGGACATCGGATTGGCATACCAGGGTGTTAGTCCCCATATTCAAAAAGGGGAACAGAGAATGTGCTCCAACTACAGAGGGGTCACACTCTTAAGCCTCTTAAGGCTTATGAGCCTCCCTTAAAAGTGAGTCCTAGAGGATTACTCTCAGGGGTCCTGGAAAGGTCCGTCGGATAGTCGAACCTTGGATTCAAGAAGAGCAGAGTGGTTTTCGTCCTGGTCGTGGAACACTGGACCAGCTCTACACCCTCAGCAGGGTCCTGGAGGGTGCATGGGAGTTCGCCCAACTGGTCTACATGTGTTTTGTGGACTTGGAGAAGGCGTTCGACCATGTCCCTCGGGGAGCCCTGGGGTGGGGGGTGGGGGGGTTCTCCGGAAGTATGGGGTACCAGGCCCTATGATACAGGTTGCTATAGGTACCTGTATGACCAGTGCCACAGTCTAGTCCACATTGTCGGCAGTAAGTCGGGCTCGTTTCCCGTGAGAGTTGGACTCCACCAAGGCTGCACATTATCATTACTTTCATGGACAAAATTTCCAGGTGCAGCCGAGGTGTTGAGGGGATCCATTTTGGTGGCCTTAGGGTCGCATCTCT